GGATGTGTACAAGATCGATCGTGCATGTACCAAATTTGGAATGCCCATGGGTCCATTCAGGTCAGATGTATTATTTGGTTTTGTTTTTGTGAATATGATTTGTGCAGCATCATTAATGTTTTTATATGAATGTGTATGAGCCATGTCAGGTGGACTCAATACGAATACCTCTTTTGTGTTACTTGAATGCAGACTGGCAGACCTCGTTGGTTTTGGTGTTGCTGCGGCCACTGGTATGCAGTACCTTGAGAACTTCCCAGAGAGGGTCTACAAGTCAATGTTGATTCCTCTTATGATGGAGGACAAAAGGACAGGTAAAAATTAATCAGCAACTGTCCATGTATCACGTCTATTTTTCTCTTCGCCATTTATTTATGCTGGATTTGTTCATACGCGTACACAATCGGGCAACTTTCACACAGGTGAGGCCTCTCGGAAGGGCTTTTACAAGTATGAGGACAAGAGGAAGGCAACTCCTGATCCCGAAATTATGAAATATATTGAAAAATCTAGGAGTATGGCTGGAGTAACACCAGACACTGAGGTTTGGTTTCGCCTTCTGAGTTTTCCCACTCTCTTTACTTCCCTAGAGAAATCTACATCTCATTCAAAATCATTTGTAGCAATAAAATCACTTTGTGGGTGGTGCTTGGTAAATTAATAATTCAAGTCTTAAACCAGGATTGTAATAACTGTCGAGGAGAGTCCTTATCTCAAAATATGGTTTTATGACTTTTGTATAATTATTAGTTCCTTTTATTTTATATTTCAAATGTAAATGCCACCTGTGGATAAATAATTCAAAAAAATCTGTATCTTTGATGTAATATTACTAGTACCTGAATTAGATGAGCTGATATAGTGGCACATTTTGACAATGATGATGATATACATGCTAAATTGACTAGACTATCGTGCAACAAGTGATATATTTCTGACAAAAGGAGTCAGTTAGCATCTAAATTCTAGAACTTTTGTACAATTATACCAGTTGATGAAGCTAAGTGAGAAGGACATAGTTGAGATGGTCTTCTTCCCAGTCATAAATGAGGCTTGCCGTGTTCTTGATGAGGGAATTGCAGTCAAGGCTTCTGACCTTGACATTGCCTCAATCTTTGGCATGGGATTCCCACCGTATAGGTACGTTTATAGAACTAGACCAATTTGCAAGAAATAATAGAATATACTAATAAAACTTGTCTACTGATTGGTGTTGGTGTGATCAGGGGAGGAATCATGTTCTGGGCAGATTCCATTGGTGCAAAGTACATCCATGACAAGTTGGAGGTGTGGGCGAAGCGGTATAGCGACATCTTCAAGCCTTGTTCCTACCTTGCAGAAAGAGCAGCAAATGGGGTTCCTCTGGTAAGCAAAATCATTTAATTCTAGGTGAAATTTTATATGCCTATTGTGTGGGAACTACTAATGTTCAAGTACGCATTCTATATTGCATACCTGCCATGCTGCCAGGATGCAAACCATATGCATCCAGATATACAGCATCCATTTAAATTCCTTTTATGCCTTTCTGTCGTATGTATTGTGATGATATTCTTGATTTAGCGTCTGATTTGTACAAAATATTTCATTTGCAGAGTGCACCAGCTAAGCAAGTCAAGGCCCGACTATAGATGAACATCCTGCTTTCCTATCAACTGCGGAAACTATGCAGAATAATAGAACACACGCCAATGGGGCATTTATGGTCTGTAGAATAGCCCATCCAATAATAATTAGAATAGGATTCTTGAAGAGTTATGTGTAATCTGTATGACGCCTCTCCAAGTTCTTGAACCATTACTGCGACAGTGTTTTGAGTTCAGACATTCTTTAAAATGTTTCATGTGCCAATGGTTATAAGCAGATTGAAAAGGCATACATAAAAACAGCGGGTGTTAATTAGTTTGCTTCAAGTTTGTCAAATGCTGCTATATGTTCATTGCGTCAATGCTTGTTTTTGGAAATTCGAATCACTGAGAGTAATGTGATACAATGACAGTTACATCAGAATCAGATAATCAAATGGTTTTGGCTTGATGTGCTTGGCTCTCCAACCAAATGTTTTCTGCTTTTGTTCCTTGCAGTTGCAAGATATGTAGTTTTATATATTTGAAAACTTGGCTGAAGTACTGCAAAATTCTTTAGTAGAAGAAAGCTAAGGGTTTTACATGAGGCTATTTTTATTTTCAAAAAACAAAAATTAGCCTTCTTGGAAATATTTCGTTTACATGAGCCTATCGCACAGCACCATATGAAAGCAATGTCACTGTATCTCGCATATGGACCAATCTCTCCAATCGTAGTCTTCTTGCAAATGCTTCTATTCAAGAAAATAACAACTCGTGCTATTCCTAAGTTTACTTTCACCCCTTATTCGATCAGCTAGTAACTACAATTTTGGTTTCATAAGCGGAATTTTCTCTTCTTCGCGTTGTATTTTCCTATAAGACGAGGGGTTATATGTAACAAATACAATGGGACGTTAGGCATATGTGATATTCCGTGCAAACACGAGAGGTTTTTTGCAAAATAGCCTACTAATTCAACCGGTTCCACTGATCGGCACGCATGCACACCACCACAGCGCCCAAATTTTCATTAACCGGTGCACCGCTTACAAGCGGTTTCCTGCACGTGCGCAAGGAGCCTGGAGGAGTAAGGAGCGACGTGTAAATCAGACATGGAGCCAAAAAAAATTCAAAAAACGGAGAAAAAAGGAATGGTTAGGGGATTAGTTGGCTGATTATTTCTATGACAGACTCCGATCCTCAAGAAGTTGCACATAACCTCCTGGGTATATCCTTATCCTGATATCCACATTCCCATAGGAAGGGTCTCCTCTACACCCTTTGACGTGGGTCACTGATTTGTGAGCCCGTTGGTTGTGGAGTCCACATATCAGCCACTCAAAATTAGAGTATGGTACTACAAATGATTTGTTTCCATTCTTGCCCCGTCTATCTCAATAGCTGCTCATTTTTCATGTTTGAAAATGCATCGCAATGAAACTTGGTCACACCTCTACCACCTTCTAGATGAAAGCATTTTTACGTGAACAATGATCAAGAGCAGAAATGTAAGTTGGCAGTCCTATTTATAAAGTAAAGAACGTACAAGAAGTCTCACTTTAGGAAGAGATAGAGACCAAATCGAATAATACATAGTTAATTATAGAACTAAACTATTACGATAGGACTAGTAAGCTTAACACATTACAAGACTTGCTATAAACTAGCTATAACATGATGTTATCGTCACCACAACATAGGAATTGTAAATGGATCACTACGACTTCATCTAGAAACAACAAAGTTAGCAACCTAGAATGTGCTAAGCACAACTCTACCGGACTAATCATGGTTGCCACCTGTTGTGCCTCGTCAATGTCACATCTCCAACTTCATAACTACCATACTCGTTGAGCTCTGGTCAAGCTAGACTCACAAGCACCACGGACCGAGAGTTGTTAGTCCTATAATGCTGTTAGATGGGAGCGCCAATTTAGCTAGCACTGGATTTAAACCAACAGATGCCACACACGAGGTAGTAATTCCAAAATGATGCATCCAAAGACATGTAGGAGAGACTGACATCACTGCTCAATCATATTCAAATTTAAGTTCGCCTGAAGCCTGAGGACCTCAACGTTAAGATGTATGAGATAAGAACACCAATAATGATGCCTGAAAGTAGATAACGATGCTCAAGAGTGTAAACGTCGTTCACACTATATAAAGTAAGGCAAGGCTTTTTCTTAGAGCCTTCCCCAATATTACACAGCCTTACGCCGAAATCCATGCAATATTGCAAAGAAACACTTCCATGCTCACCAGGACGCCTTGAAGCTCCCCACGAGCCAATCTGGAGAGGAGACAAATCTGGCAAGTGGAGGAGTGGTTGAATCCGCTAAGTCTGCGAGTGGCACCTCCACCTCCTTGCTAGGTACCACTGCACAAGCTTTTGCCTAGTTCTGCCAGCACAACCACTACGCAACCGACAGCTACTACTCTTATGCCGCCAACATGATATTGCTTCGTGCTAACCATCGGGCAAGATATAACCTTCCTGCAGGTCAAGTTGCTAGCATTAGACGCACATTCAAAAGATGCCTTGGTACATGATAGGCTATCAGTGAGCAGATCTGCCTCCATGGGCAACACACCACTTGGCCAAAATGCTCCACCTTCACACTATGGCTTTACACAACTAGATAAACATCGTCTCGGTAGTTGCCATCTTCATTGCACGCTCCAAGTTGCTGGCCTTCACGTATTGACTAGATCTGGTTAGTCAGACACCTCTTTTTATACAAATAGTGACGTGTCACGTTTCATTTACATTTGAGGACCAAATATGTAGTTGTTGAGAGACGCACACACGCTTCAAGGACATAGCCAACTCCTAGGCTAGTCGAGCGGCCGTTCAACTCCACGCTAGCATCTTCATTGTCGATTAGCAAAATTACTTGAGCAATGTTGCGAAGAAATATAACCCTTATCGCTCAGACTCATTGGTATCGCTGGCTCCGCAACTGTACATGCCGTAAAGGGGGTGGTACACTGAAACGCAACCAACTCCCTTCGCGGGAATAATTAATCATTTGCCACCCTTACAAGTGGTGATAAATGATTTTCCACTAGACCCACATATCATATACAACGAGTGGCAAATAATTAATTGCCACATTTTAAAAGTGGCAAAAAAGTTAAATATCCCTCGTTCGTGTCAGAGACAAGCCAGCAAGAAGCCAAAACTCATTACGGATCCGCTCAGTACACCGTAATTAATTGCCACATTTTAAAAGTGGCAAAAAAATTAAATATTACCCGTTTGTGTCAGAGACAAGCCAGCAACAAAGCCAAAACTCATTATGGATCCGCTCAGTACACCGTACACGGTGACGTAGCCCGTGCAGCCCACCAATTACAAACAAGGCCCAATCGGCCCACAAATCCCAACGGCCGATCTGAGCCGTCCATCAGTGCAGCCCAGTTAGGGTTTCCCACACTACCCTAACCCTATAAATACGAGGCGGGCGCCCCGCGCCGCCACCCTCCACTACTACGAATCGCCAGCCGCCACACCGAGCTCCGCCGCCGCCAACCCCACCGCGGCGAGCTCCGCCTTCCGCCGGCCGCGATGGCTCCCAAGGTTTGTCTGCTTTACATTCTCGCACATCTACCTCAAAACTCAAATTGCCTCTGGATTCATGTCGCTGTTGCGTAGCCGCCCCTCTCCTGCGGATGTGCTGTTGTCTAGATGTAGCATACGCAGTAGCTGCTCCTCAAATTGCTTTGAGATAATGATCATATGATGTGATGTGATGTGATGTGATTGTGTTAGAAATTGCTGCTGCTGCTGATTTTTAGTTATTTTCCCCCTTTCTTGCTGTGGGGGGTTGGTGGTTGCGGTTCTCTGTGATGACGAAAAACAGATGACGAGTCCGATCCAATCCATTCCATTAAACCATGGGGACAATCGAGGCATTTGTCTGAGAGAACAACAGCTTTAGTTTTTTCTTAACAAAAATATTCACTGGTTGTTGATTTCTTCTTGTTTTAGCAATGCAATCGGCATTTGTGGTATTGGCATGATGAGGAAAACCGATGTTTTTGGATCTATTTGATGATAAATTCCTCCTACTCATTCTGAATGCTGAGACCACAGTGTGTGCCTTTGCTTGTTCTATAGGTGTTTAGACAGTAGCTTTTTTTAATCTTGTACATGGAAGCTGCAAGCAATCTATGCTTTTCATTCAGTTATAAAATTGATTTTGTTTGACAAAATTGGTCTATTTTTCTAATCAAATAAAGTGGCTTTGTGCTTCTGATCCTAAATACTGGAAAAATGTATGTACCTTTGCAATGTAAGATATCTAGCACGGGTGTTCGACATTGATTACTGATGTGATAATGTATATTGGAAGTCGTAGTGATCTGATTTATCCAAAAAATATTCTAGCGTTAAGTTATAGTTGTAGTCTGTCTTTTATAGATTCCAATCACAATGGAGAATAACATTCTTACTATGGGATGTATGTGCTTTGTTCTTATTTCTGGACCCCTGTAATAAATTCCTCTTGCAGTTCTGTGCTGAATTTTACCCATAATATCTCTTCATTTAATTTTGGATTACTTCCTAATGACCAGGTTAGGTATTTCTGAACTATTGACAAATAATTGTCCCTTGTTGAATTAACTAGGCCGCTGTAAAGAAGGCTGATGGAAAGACTCAACAAGCCTTGAAGGTTGCCAAGGCAGTGAAGTCTGGGTCAATCAAGAGAAAGTCAAAGAAGATCCGCACTTCGGTGACATTTCACAGACCAAAGACCCTGAAGAAGGCGAGAGACCCTAAGTACCCAAGAGTCAGTGCACCTGGCAGGAACAAGCTTGATCAGTACCAAATCCTCAAGTACCCCCTTACGACCGAATCTGCCATGAAGAAGATTGAAGACAACAACACCCTTGTCTTCATCGTCGACCTCAAGGCAGACAAGAAGAAGATCAAGGCAGCTGTCAAGAAGATGTATGACATCCAGGCAAAGAAAGTTAACACTCTGATCAGGTTATTAACTCACCTTCCTTTGTTCATGGCTGAATACGCTTCATTCTGTATGTTGACAACTTGGTGTATCGATTTTCTGTAATACAGGCCTGACGGCAAGAAGAAGGCTTACGTGAAGCTCACTCCAGACTATGATGCTCTTGATGTGGCCAACAAAATTGGCATCATTTAAGTTAGGGCGCTTTTTTTCATCATGTTGAACGTAAGATTTTGGTTGGCTAGTTCTTAATGTTGAACAGAACCTTATAACTTGCAAAAGAACATCTTGAGTTTTGTTGAGCGAATATCATCTGTGTGAGCGCACATTTACTGAATCAGTATATCAATGTCAGTTGTGCATCTTCTTCCAACATGAGGCTACTCTTCTCTGTTGGTCGAACTGTATGGAGCTAAATGTTGTGCTCTGGTTTCACATGATTGGCAGCTCTCTTACACAACCATGAGTCGATAACAAAACCAACCCAGAGCTGTTAGTACCATCCTGTTTATACCCGCAATGTTTTTTTATTTGCAGTAATCAATTTAGTAATTCTGGAGTGAGATTTACATGTATAGGGAGGATGCTAGTGGGAACAGCGTCCGGTTGTGGACGCCATTTCTAATCACGTCCATACGGGGGACGCTGCTCATAACAGCGTCCAGACTCTGGTAAAGCCGTGACTGCCCGTTGGTCCAATCCACCGCACGCGCGAGGACGATTCGCAGTGTCGCCATTGACACTACGCTGCTGAACAGCAAGCAAAGTCTCCGTTCATGCTGGCTCATGTTCTTGTGATTGGGGTGCCGCTGGTTGTAGCCGGAAAGGCTAATGCACGAACGAGATGGACATCTCACGAGCGGGTCCTGACAGCGGTGTTAGGGTGGGTTGGGGTGAGGGACGAGGGTGGCGCCGGAAGGGGGAAGTGGACTTGCCTTTAGCTGCCTGAGTTGGGTATGGAGGATCACCAGTGGATTTGTCTCCTCTTGTGGTCATCGTATTGATGTTCTCTAGGGATGGCTTCGGTTATCCCGAAATAGGGAACGATAACTGCCAAATGAGCTAATTGAGTTTTCAGTATTTTGTTAAAACTCAATTGGTTCTTGATAACAGAGGAAAGTCCCCCCCCATCTTGGGGTGGATGCTTATTTCCTCCATGGTAATTGTCGTATCCCAAGATTATCCTATACTGCATCCTTCAATTTATTCTTAAAAAAAAGGTAAAAATCGGTTTAATGCCCTCAACATTAAAAATGTGCAATTTAAAAATTAAATGAGGCTTGGAGGACATCTGTATATTTCTCATGGCCTAAAATGCTTAATTAAATTTTAGTGGAATTTTCTCAGACCGCCAGTTCCTCTCTGTCCTCGATGTTAATCGGCCATCACGTCTCGTCATAGGCCGTCGTCGCCGAGTCCGACCGGTGAGCTCGCCGTCTGCTGATCACCCGAGCAGAGAAGCTGAAGACGATTGATTGCATTTACAAGTCACCAGTAAAGCTAATTCAAGTTAATTGAGATGCAATTTTCTTTTCTTTGGAAAAAACATATGTTTCCTTGTTTTGTTGTTTTCGAAATGTCGGAGACTTGGAGCTAATAGGTACAGGCGTACAGCAAACCCCCTGTCTTGTATCTCAAAACACGTGTTTGGTTCTTATCTAGTTACATAGAGACTATATATACATTGACTGTAAATATTGGCCTTCCGTCGCCTGTCGCCACTATTCTCGAATCCCATGTAAACATTTATAATGTGGTATGTACCACAATTCTTTATTCAATGACGGCACACACTTTGTAAATAATAACAAGGCAAGGTTTGAGGTTATCAGGTAGAACGCAGACTCAGCAGGATCCCTCAACTTACAATACATATACGATTTACAATACATATATATGACTTACGACACAGAATCAGAGTGGAATTATTGAAATATTCGGTTGTGCAAATACATATATAATCCACTCTGATTCTCACAAACCATTGTAGAGCATGCAGTAACGGGCAATGGCACAGGTACGTAGCTGCAGGGCATCGCATCATGGTTGGACATAGACGCCAATAGCATCGACGAGCAGTCCAGAGCGCGCAAAGAAGCCGACGGCACGAGCGTCGTCCTGGAGCGGGACACTGAAGGCCGTTCCATTCGGGACACCAAACTCGTGCGTGGTAACATCCGTGACAATCTTCAGGTACGTCAGAATATCCGCTAGGGTTTGGAGCGTGCCATGAGTTCCAGAAACTTCCTTCACACGCTCGGAAGGGCCAAACTTGATCTGCATTAAGATTGTATTACTTGATTATTTACGGTTAATAATTACTACTCCCTCCATTTTAGGTTATAAGACATTTTGACTTAAACTTTTAAATTTGACTAAGTTTATAGACAAATATAGTAATATTTATAATACTAAATTAGTTTCATTAAAACAATAATTAAATATATTTTTATAATAAATTTGTCTTAGGTTGAAAATGTTACTACTTTTAGTCAAACTTAAAACAGTATCGTCTTATGACCTGAAATGGATGGAGCAGCACATTATTGACTGTTTTATCTGACGAGTAAAATATTTCAATGTCTGCCACTAATACAGAAACTCCTATCACTATCTATATCTGCCATGAATCGGAAGTGATAGAGAGCATATCACTGCTGTCTTGTAGATTAATTAGAAGCTAGCAAGGAGTAAATACTGTATAATGCACAACACAATATTAAACTTCTAATCAAACTTGTAAAGCTTTGGCCTTCTTTGGAAAACGCGAACATACACGTTTGCAAAACCTATCAAAATGAACTGATTTCCATGCAGTTACCAATTAAAGCACAGAATACAAATACGAATACAACTACATATACATGTAGTATTTGTTACCGTTTTGTGTAGTACTCGATGTCGATGCTTCTTTATATGGAATGGTTGTTGAATTGTTACTATGGTTTGGTGAGTCTACTGGGCATGGGAGGCTCATATTTATAGCTCTCACTCGGTGGATGTGCACAGACGGCCTTCTAATTAACACGCACACTGAGCCAGGGCGTATATTAAGCGTAATGCTAAGTGTAAACTTTTATAATAAATACACAATTGAGTTAAATGTTCAATTTTGCAATTTAAAGTTCTAAATCTGGAATTAGACATCTTAAATTTTACTTAAAAAGTTTCATAATTGTATTGAAAGTTTCAAATTTTGGTCAGTACTTCTTAAATTATGAGTTAAATTAAACTCTTTAAGTTAAAATTTTTATTTTTTAAGTAGAAAGTTTACTCAAACTTTTCAAATATAAAATATAACTTTGTGTTGAAAAATTTCCCATCACACAATATTACTCGAATTTGAAACATATTTAGAAATAATAAAAAGTGTAAACAATCATCAAATACCAATTTTGGATAATTTTCAAGCTACTCTAAATCACTTAGAAAAATGTTTAAAAAATGGTGTTACACCCATTTAGCTCGTGAGCCCACACCATACGGGTTCACATCCTCTACCATAATGATTAATGATACTATCATTTATAAACACTGATGTGTGTAAGCAATAGGAGTTTAGAGCCTGTATATTAGTGATTGTAATGGTAGTGAATTAATACGGGGTCTTCACCCACACCGTACACATGTGCCACGCTTGCGTTGTCTGCACAGCCAGCAGGGCCAATTAGTCACTCATGATGCATGTATCCATGCAAGCATGTCCAGTTTCTTTCCTTAATTTTTTAGACTTATCCTTTAATAATTGACTTATCCCAATAGGAAGACCCATATTTATAGCTCTGGCTTGACAGTTCATTGATGCATGCACGCACGTTCTATTTCTTTTCTCGATTTTCAGACTTAACAAATAATACATAACGAAATCGTAGTAGGGATGCCCATATTTACAGATCTGGCTCGATGGAGTACTGTTCACAATCACAGATGCATGCATGCACGTTCATTTTTTTATTTAAATTTTTAGACTTAGCTTAATAATTGGCTTATCGCAGCTTTTATTATCACTCAGCTTACTCCACATATCCTATCGTATAGTTGCAACTAAAGCTCAATATAAAAGCATACCAAATCATTATTCCCACATCATTTCCATTATTCCCTATGTCATTTTTATAATATTTATCATATCCATCCATGTATCCCAATGCCAAAGCGAGGATGCAATATCAGTAAAGTTTATCCCCCCCTAATAGCAATTAAAGCTATTTTTTCACTCTTCTAATTGTGCCATATACCTCAATAAATCTCATCAATTAAATCAAAGTTTAAGGCTACATATTGCCTCAAAATACCTTTGCTATTGGCCATTGGATGCAATGGCTCAGATTATATATTTTAGTGCTATATATTATATTGCTTACATTTACTCCTCATGCTTAACCATAATTATCTCTATTTAATCCAAAAGTCGATTGCCCACCAATGTCGTTATTGTTGAAAGACAACACTTATTTCTAAGTGTAGATAAAAAAATAAAGTAGTATATTAAATTTAGGAACACTATGTTACAGACTACCCATTGCGGTCTATTCATATAGACTACAAGGATAATAACCGCACCCTAGGGTTTTACATAACTAAAAGCCTTGATGGGGACATTTATAGAGATATTCGTATCATTTCCTAGCCTATCCGGTTCAGGCAGCCCCCATGAGCTTCTCTTGGGCCATGACCGGGTCGGTGCGCCTACGAGGGCTTCATTTGGGTTGGTCCATTTCGACCTTTTGACCCTCGTAGGCTCATCATGCCTACGGCTTTGTCATACTTATGACCTATGCTATCTTGAGAGCTCTACGCCAGGTCATTAGCATGTTTGCTGGGCAAGAGGATGAGGAAGGGGGCCTATTGATTTCAGGTGAACCTCGTTATCGGTGGAGGAAATCCGAAGCTAGACCGTTCCCAAAGGGGAAACGCACGTGGCATCCTCCCCAACTGCGGAGCACACATGGCTAATGAGGACCAATAATGGTGCTAGGACTGCTGACGTGCACAAGGAAAGATGGAGCTGTCTCCCGAACCGAGCGGCGCGTCAGGGCTTACCAGCGCCACACCATGCGCGGCGTGCACTACAGTCCCGCCCGCCGTCGATGGACAAAAGCAGTCATAGTCACCACTCAACACCGGTAGGACACTCGACCAATCCAAAAACAAACCATGAATCCTTCACTATTGATTGGGCCTGAATCGAATTAGATGGGCCTCATGTGGTCCAAGCTATTACCTGGGCCTCAGGTACTTCCTATGTGTGAGATAATGGTTGAGCTACCTTCAATCGGAGTGTGCTGCATTTTCTTCATCCGACGGCTGAGAAGCGGTCTAATTCACTGATCCAATGGTTGAGAACTGATGATGACATGGAACATTGAGGTTTACGCTTTAGGATCTTATTTGTAATTAGTAGGTAATAACGTTATAGAAGAAGGGATTAGTTGCCCATGGATAGTGATACCAATATGAGAAACACACAAGGGAGCGGACCAGGTGCTGAACATGTACAAATGACCCCAACTTATTGTAGTAATAAATATTAAAAAGTCGACTGGGACAACATATATATCGCCAACTTTATTGTACTACGGATCGGTGCAACACGTACACAGACAATGGGGGGATTGCATGAAGTACAACAACACCATGGAACATTATTTCGTAGATATGGTAGTAGGTAGTAATTCTTTGACCACTGGGAATCAAGGGTGGACGTAGATGCCAATTGCGTCGATAAGCGTTCCAGACCTTCCAAAGAATCCAACGACATGGCCAGAGTCTTGCAGTGGAATGCTGAATTCCTTTCCATTTGGGACTCCAGCCTCGTATGTATTATTAGCACTTGTCACAATCTTAAGATAGGTGACAATGTCAGCCAGATCATAGACTGGGCCATGGGTTCCAGAAATCTCCTTGATCTGCTCAGAGGAGCCCAGTTTAATCTGCAGTAACATCGTTTAATTTGTTGGATTATTTCTGCTATTATAGGAATCACCTTGTAAATTAAGTGGTTAACCTTAATTAAGCAGTGTAAATTACCTCTGTAGAGGTGCCTTCGCCCCCACCCCATGGACCAATGGCATATTCCTGTCCATCCACACCGATGTAGTTGAAGGCAATGGATCTGATTGCATCTGAGCTGTAGATTGTCACGCCTAACAGCTTCTTGGGTGGCACACTGATGTCCTGAGCTGACCCTCCATTTCCGCCCCACGGACCAATCTTCACCAGCGTCATACTCTGTTTAGTAAATACAAAAGCACATCTTAGTAAATTCAAACATGATTTTTCAGGTTAGCTTGTTTGAACTTTGAAGTTGTAAAATTTTGCCTAAATATAAATTATTTTGGAATCGTCAAGTTTGCTCACCGTATTCCCACTCAGTTTTGTTCAGATATAAATCAATTTGAATGATCGCACACTAACATATATGGTATTGTTTCCGAAATGTGTAGGGGTAACATGATCATTTCTATGGTTTTTAATTAATTTGCACAAGTAATTTGAATCCGAACGAGTGCTTTTGTACTTTCACAAAACAATAGCAATGATGTGACCATCTGATTTTTTTTTTTTTTTTGGAATCAGTCGTCCAATTTGTAGCTTCCTCGAATCTCTATGCATTCATGGTAATATTTATAGGGATGTTTTTCCAACTGTAAAAGGATAAAATCTAAATTGCATGCAACTAGTTGAGCTTACAAAAAAAAAACAAAGAACGAAAGAAAGGAAAACCTTAAGCAGAGCTAGCTAGAACAACATCAAAAAAAAAAAATGCAGAGTACTGCTATGCTTTCATACCTTCGTGGTCGCTTAAATTTCCTTGTAATGATAGTCGACTTGTGTAGTTGTGTAGGGCAATGGGGATTGCACCCTCTATTTATAGTGCTTCTTATGCCTAACATCCACTGTATCAACTGCATTCGTGTACGTAATCTTTCATGCATGTGCTCCATCTTTTGTTGGACTTTATAATATTCTAGACATTTATCCATCTATCCTTCATTCTGAAGCCGCCGTCACCAAGCCTTGGTTTTTGACAAGCTGGTGAGTGCTAACATTTAAAGGCTATCTTATTGTCGACAATGCTGCTAGCTAGCTAACTGAATGTCCCTGCACGGAGTTTGACCAAGCGAGCCAAGCTCACTCAGCGCCACGTCTGCCAAAGAAGCCTCGTGTCCAAATTTCATACCCCTCTGTTATCACGGGTACAGGTGTTCCTTATCTTCTGGCGATTTAGGGACATGCAGTTTTGGACTTGTTTTAAGTAAGTCAAAGTTTAATAACATTATTAATATCTTTCTAAATATTTAGATATCTTTGAATAATAGAATTTAATATAATATTATCTTTGTTTCAAAGAGTCCATAGTTTTCAGCTCGAAAGACCACGCGTTACAGATCTTACTATCAAATTGACGGATATCTGCTTAACCGTTGTTTTGAGCAGCACCTGCATGTTGCAAGCAATCCTCATCCCTCCTCAATGCTGAAAAAAAACGACCCCAAAAATAGCGTCCGATCATTCTGTTGATCGATACTCACACACATCATCGCCAGCATCGATCAACAAACGGAAGCAGATGGTACCGCCGGAGAGTAACTAAATTATAAATAAGGTGTGCCATCGCTAAATTCCACCCATGATCTCTAATGCATGAGGGAAGGTTTTTCGGAGCACACCCCATGGAGGATACGACGTGATTTACCACCGTCCCTTGTCTGAAAGCTAGAGTAAGGTGTTCCTCTAGAGATTGATATGTATGGAATAGCAGAAAAGAACGCAATAACGACATCTTCGAGGAGAGGAAACACACTTAGCCGTGTTCAGTAGTGGTTGTTGGAAACTAATCCCTCCTTTCCTCGTGCACGTAAAACATAGCAACTCATTAGTGTATGATTAATTAAGTATTAGCTATTTGTTTTTTTAAAAAATAGATTAATATGATTTTTTAAAGTAACTTTCCTATTGAAAATTTATAAAAAAAACACACCGTTTAACAGTTTAAAAAGCGTGTGCGTGGAAAAAGTGGAATGTGAGTTGGGAAAACGTGACACAGTGGTATGGTTTCAATTTTTCCAAATTCGAGTGGCATGTAGCCGATATCGTGAATAGTAGTGACATTTACCTAAAATAGTATATTTGTAATGGCATGAATCCAACTAACTCTAAATATAATTATACTACTATATAATTATCACTATGTTTTGAATTTTTTATTTGGAAGAATTGTAAAACAAAATAAAAGAAGGGAAAGGGAAATCATATAAACAAGGGGAATTCTAGGGGTCACCTACAAATCGGACGCCCGATTTTTTTTTTTTTACAAAAATCGGGCGTTGTTCCACCAAGTAGATCGGAATTGTTTCACTAAGTAGATCGAAAATGTTTCAATCGTTTAAAAAGATGAAATACAACTAAATCACCTCATGAAATATTTTGCTACAATGTATGAAACAATGGTTTTTGAAGTTGTTTCACCATATATAAAAATAATATTTCAGCAAATAGCAAAAGGATGTTTCAATTCACTGCAAGATTTAATCTATACACAGTGAAACAACACAAGTATACTTACTGAAATATTGTTGGTAGAAAAAAAATTGAAACGGATTCCTTTAATACATAATACAAGTATACTTACTGAAATATTGTTGGTGGAAAAAAAATTGAAACGGATTCCTTTAATGGAGCGTTTCTGTAATATGCGAGTGATTTGTTGCAACGATGCGTGTGGTGGGACGCGTGGTGAGATGGTGTGGAGGCACGGGTGGTGCGGTGCCCATTTTTTTAGCGCCCGTCGGACACCCGACTCGGGGCATTTCCAGAAATTCTACCGTTCTCGAAAAATACCATCGGTACTTATCTGGTACCGTAAGACCACATTCCATATATAAACAATGGAAAATAAGAGATGGTTAGCTGAACGTGCAAAAGCAGACAATGCATTAGGCGTGCATATGCACCAGGGTCCAATACAAATCAATCAAACAAAGTGCATATGGCACTGAAAATCATAGGCACTGAAACTATGACGTGCACGGATGAATGACTATTCTCTTTTCTGGCCAATTGGAGAATTCCTACACGCCATCCATCGGGTTACGCGGTGCTACCATGATTGATTGACTCCCTTAATTCCTACACTGAAACTCATAATATTCTTGTTTCCTGGACACGTCACAAGCTGGACTCATGCCCCATTCCACCATGATTGATTGACTCCCTTAATTATTAATTGGGACCACCTATTCTGCAATCACTTAAAATTTTGGATTTTTTTTTTCAGTCGATTCTGTGCGCCATCAGATCTACATCCAACGGCAATGCTGAAAAAAAGAAAAGGAGCTTGTGCAAAAGGAAAAGGAAAGGAATAAGTTAAACTACCGTCACTAAACTTTACGTCGAGTCTGTATGACATCCCTAATTTCTAATGTCAGAAATTTTCTCCTCTCAAATGTTCAAAACAGTGCAATCAAGATCTCATGACAATATGTATGGGTGGTTTTGCTGACGTGGCATCCTAATCAGCAATCTGGTCCCACGTGTAAGTGAAAAAAATAACATGGGTCCGCATCCCTTCTATCCACCATTTTCTTCTTTTTATTTTTTCATCTTCTCTTTTCTTTTTTTCTCTACTCCTTTTGTTCTTCTCTTTGCCGCAAACGAGGGAGCGGCAACTGGCGGCGGCATCGCGGCAAGCGTACGGAGCAGGCGAGCGAGCGCGGCTGCGGCGGCTGGCGAGGGGGGCGCGCCTCCGTGTCTCTAGGCCACCGCGCCATGCGCTTGCTTACTTGCCCATGTCAACTCCATCAATTCAACGACATCATGACATGCCACGACTCCAAATTAATCCGGCTCCGGAGCAGGTGGCCAGAGCAGCGCAGCTGCGAGCGTGCAGCCGGTGGAGCGGAGCAGCGGTGACAAGCGGCTAGCGGGCGAGCGCGCGGCGGCCGGAGCTTGCAAGCGAGCGCGTGGCTGGCGCAGCAGAGCGGCGGCGACCAGGCCATCTGCCGCTGGCTGCGCATCGAGAAGATTGGAGAGGAAAGGAGAAGAGAAGAGACGAAAGAAAAGAAAAGAGAAGAAATAAGATATGTGGGTCTCATATTTCTTTCATCTCACTTACATGTGGACCCCATATTTTTATTTATTTTTTTTACTAGGATACCACGTCAGCAAAACCACCCATATATACTGCTTTGGGACCTTGATTGCATGGTTTTGAACATTTGAAGGGTGAAGATTTCTTGTATTGGATATTAGGGATGTCGACATGTCATACAGACTCGACGTAAAGTTGTTGGACGGTAGGTGAACTTATTCCAAAAGGAAACAAAAGGGGGTGTCGAGTCCATAGTGCTATTTTGGGAACCACTTTCGAAGGTCTAGAACAAGCCCACCATTTTGTTTTCACCTCATGTTAATGTTAAAATTTGGTAAGATTGGATTCTGTTAAGGAAAAATCACAATTAACGGATGGAAAGCTTATCCATAATAGACCGAGTTCAAAAAGAAATCATGAAGACCATGATATGGCAACTTGGTTTATCTATTAATTAGGCAAGGTTTAGTAACTGCCTTTTTATCTTTAGGAAAGAGCGTTTAGGATCCGATCAGAACTTATATCTCTTCGTTTATCTTTAGAACAAATTGAGTCGTGTCCGATTAGGACTCTTATCGGTCTATGGGTATAAAATATAAATATGTACATCTGGAGTCATTGTAAACTATCTCGACAAATCAACATATTTACTTTCGGCGCATCGCCACCCTCTCGCGAGGTTTTATTTCGACGAGTTCTTATTTTCGTGCATGGGCTGCATCGATTGAGTTCAACCTCCGGCTAATCGGGCCGACGCAAGTGTTGCCTATATGGTAATATCATCTCTATCATTAGTTCCATTACTGTTTATAGTCACATTGGTTTAGTTAGGACTTCCTCGGTTAGTTCCGATATTCTGATCAAGTTAATGTTTCTTTAAACATAATATCTTGTCAATCTCATCTGATGTGTTAAATTTCTCTTTCATGGTTTTACTGTCTTGGTTAAATTTAATACATGACCGCTTTGGTTGGCTCATATTGGCTTGCTTGAATCTATCAGGCAATTATCAACCTTATGATGCATCGGTTGTGGCAGCGTTATGGACATCTGGTCTTCGACAGCGGCATAGTTGTCCTCGCACCTCAACTTCTAATAGTCGAGTTACGACTACAACTGGTCTTCAACCAGCGGCGTAGCAGTCCTCGCTCCACGTCTTCAAGTGGTCGAGTATGTTTACGTACCTGGTCTGCGACCAACAATTGTAGCGGTTCTCCTACTGCTTCCGCGAAGTGATTGAGTACAACTACACACCTGGTTTTGGCCCCTGGTGGTAGCCATCTCATCACCCCATTTGCATCATTTTCTGTAAGTATTTATGCATATAAATGTGCAATATTTGTCCATTGATTCTCTTTTTCTTATATCATCTTGTCTCGAAGTCGATCCTACTGTCCTTTTACGCTAGTTTGACACGCCAGAGTGGATAAGGTGATGTCAGGCATTGCAGAGCCAAATGACCATGTCATATTTGGTCACGTCAGAGTGGTGCATGGCACCGTACTAACTAAGCCGCATAACCGGGAATTGGTTTTCCCAACGTCACAACTAGGGGTAGGTAATCGCAGCTTTAGCTTGGTTTATTATAAGATTTTAAGCCGCCTATGTGGAAAAACGACTTTTCCATAAAGACAGCTATGGACTAGGAAGAGTACCATACTCCGATTACTGAGGGCAGCTCTAGCAAGACCGCGAGAGTACTTTTTTATTGTCACGTGCAAATTCAATTTATTTTCAATTTTCAAATTCACATTATATCATGTTACCCTTGAGCGTTCGCTCGGGGGCTCTTTCTATCTAACAATCTATTCTGAGTATTGATTTCAGAAAAGTCAGATATCAGAACAGTCAA